TTTAAAAAGATTTTGCGTTAAATTGTAGTATACGGTAAGCTTTGGCACGTTTTGAAATTGTCGCCAAGACCAAAGTGACCCGTTTTACTGGCATCATCATGTCGCTAAATCCATACATGGAGATTATTTTAACCAAAAACCGTCTATGCAAAATCTCTAATTCTTTGGTCTATGTAAAGAGAAAATTTCATCAAGTAAAATGCTATTCGCCCTGAATGCGGAGGGAAAATTTGCCAAGGATTTGGCAAAGGAACCTGGCGGCCCGAATTTCCCTCAGCGAGTGTACCGGAATTGAGAAACGTGTTAAGAAGAACGTTCTTGACAAAAAGAAAGCTACGAAAACCGTTTTTAAATTATTGCGAACATCCACGAGAAACGTTTATCAAAGGACTTTTTCTTGGATTTTCGCAATAATTTAAAAAACGGATTTCGTAGTTTCCTCCCCCTGAAAATTACTAACCTATGAATTAATTTACTTGCACCAAAAAATATTTTCTTTTAATTTAGAGTTAAAACTACTTGCGCTAAACTAAACTTCACGGTTGCGGTGCCGTGCGCTACAATATGCAAGTGGTAAAGTGTCTCATTTAGGCCGCTCCGCATCTGCGAGTGCATCCAGAGCTGTAAATCGAGAAATAAACAATCCGTTGTTAGGCGAAGTGTGCACCATGTTATTTCATTTTGCGATAAATGCTTATCGACGGTGTTCACGTCGCTCGCAGTTTGAGACAAAAAATCTCGACGTGCGTAGGCACGTCTTTTTAGCGCAAGTTAGAAATTTAAAGGATATTCATTATGAACTCTTGATACGTGGCCTTCGAACTTCGACACGGTTTCCAGCTTTGGCGGCAGATTATCAAGCCTGCACAGCTGTTTCCCTCTATGATGGAACGGAGCCACGTCTGTTGCAGAGAGGTTTTCCTTCTTACTGATACATATCTTTGATGCTAACTCCATGTACCGTATACTAAGATTAAACCCATTTTGTTTTATACGAGAACAGGTACTTTCTTTAGTTCAGCATGCACATGCGATTCTCAAGAATACTGGAAACCAAAGTTGCGGGAAACTTGCTTTGACTTTCTAAAAGGCAATCAATTGGAGCTGCGAAAATTGGCTCTATGCAGCAGACACTCACGTGATAGGCATTCGCCAAAAAAGTTATCTCTTCCGACGTCGGCGCAAAAATAGCTTTTTTTTGGCGGGATCATTGTATGAAATTCCCTGACTTTTCCAGATTTTGACAAAAATACTTAAATTCCCTGAATTTTTTGGTCAATTTTCGAATTCCCTGACTTTTCCCGGTTTTCCAGGTAGCGTGGCAACCCTGTTCACAGTAGGGATGTTCAGCATATGGATTGGCCAGTCTCATCCCTATACCTTAACCAGATTGAACATGTCTGGGACCACTTAAAGAGGTAACTGCAATTCTTCAGCTGCCTCTGAAAAACATAAGGTAAGAGCTGCTTTGGTGCAGGAGAGAGAGTGTGGTTACTACAAGGACTGATCAACTGCTTCATTAAAAGTACAATTTCTATCTACACAACCTTCATAAGAGTATGAAATCTGAAATGAACACAAATGTGTAATTCAGTAACATAGTGTTTTCACTTCTGCTTATCAAAGCCAATAATATACGATTTTTTGAGTAAAAATAACATACTTACAAAGTAATGTTTTACACACATAAAAAAACATTAATTTTACATAATTAAATACTAAGACTATAGGAAATTACCCACACTACTTATTATGCAAAATATACCAAACATGGCATTATACAATATAAAAAATTTTATACATACGGTTCTGAATACATATTCTGAAAAATCATTCATTTCAAGTATACTAAATTTACTGCAAATTTTAATGAGATATATAACTAAAATCATTACTGGAAAGTACACAGAATTACTGAAATTCATTTATAACATGAAGAAACTTGTACTTTTAAAGACAAACTAATATTAATTTATACTCTTTTGTCACAAAAGAAATTTTAACTTCCTTCCTATATAAGTAACGATGAAATGTAATTTCCTTATTTTTACATTGTCATCATTTAAATAATTTATGTATCTATTTAAAAAATTAATACCATAAATATATTCTCTTAATCTCTCAAGAAAGAAATACTTTTGCACAGTTGGTTTTTATGTTTTTCTTAATGTGCAAAGTGAATACGAGTTAGTTTTCCTTAGAAAGTCCTCCACAAAGGCATCTCTTCTCTTAGGTATTCATTCAGCTCTCATGTGTTTTGCCATATTTAAATAATTATTTAACCTACACTAGAAAATATTTTTCTCGAACTAAATCTCTTAATAAGGAAATTGGGTTACTTTAACAACACAACTTAGATCTACAGTACAAAGTCCATAATCCGGACTCGTCGGGACTTTGGCGATTCTGGATTAGGGGTTTTTCCTGATTAAAAATCATCAATTTAAATCTGGTAAGATGGCATGCAAAAAATACAAGTAAAAAATAAATCATAATTTATGAAATAAAGAACAATTATGATTAAAGGGTATCAAATTAAAAAAAAAAAAGCTTAATATTTTTTGTACTTTATAATATTTGTTTCAATGTAGTTTTTAGATGCTCCCCAAAAATTCAAATTCCCTTTTCTTGTGTATATATAGTGGACTCTAATGAATCCTTCTAGCTAATTTTGAGACGGATAGGCCTTTATCCATTTTTGCAGCAATTCCACTTTTTGTTTAATGGAATCAAACATGCTTTCACTTGTAGATCCTTTGGCAGCTCCAGAATTGAAAACTCTTTATGACTAATCGAAAGTTCAAGCTTATTTTTATAAAATTGTTCTAACAGTGTGCAAAAATAATAAGCCGGATCCAATTAGAAGATTAGGTACAGTGCAGTTGCTACTTAACTGAAATCCTTAGATAATTAATAGCTTATCGTTCGTTATAATTTAAACGTGCATGCGTAAACGCATATGCGCATAAAGTTTGTAGCTTTGAGGTCCGGATTATAGATCATTCCAGATTATGGACATCCGGATTACGGACTTTGTACTGTATTACACATAAAAAGTGTTACATAATTTGCAAAAAGAAAAGATCTATTATAAGAAACTTTTAAAATACTCTCAGAAATTTACATATAGGAAACATGTAGAAAAATGCAGTGTTTTGAAGTAATACACCATTTCTTAAGTTATAATAATTAAAAAACGTATTCTATATAACTATGGGTTATGGAAGTATGGCATCATTTGTAATGTGGCACTAAGTACCAAGCATGGAAGTAAGTAATTATTTTGTGAATAATTTCAAAAAATAGGTGAACACAATGAAAGTACTGTAGTAAAATGCATAAAATAAATTCATTTTTAGCATTATCTTTTAACATTAAAAACAACAAAAAGTGAATTATATCTACAAAATAAACCTGACTTGCTAAATTAAAATTTCTAAGCAGTGAGACAAAAATAAAAGTAAACTTTTGATAACGGCCCTTGCTTCTGTACTCTTTGTAATACAAATAAAAGTTAATCAATTGCCAGCATTTCTTTTTGTTCATAGCATTTAAATTACATTTCTTTTTTTTTATAATAATTATTACTGATATCATTCACATCAATGTACAATAAACAGTGCTCACCTGAAAATGTAGCACTGATGATGTGTTCGGCGAACGAAATTAAAAAAATAGTTGCGAAGATTCTTAAGACAAACAAACACTATGCATACAACAAAGTCTTTCGTCAGTCTCTCTTGATAACACTAGATATGGCAGAATGTGAATTCATTCACCACAATATAGTTCAACAATTTCGAAGTACCACATCAATAAAAACACGCTATAAACTGTTAATATTTTAATAAAAAGGAAATAACTAAAATTGCAAGCTATTAGCATAAAAGAATAATTTATTTTGAAAGGTTTACTGAAACACATAACAATGAATTGGAGGCAGAGAGGTCAGTGCGCAAGAATACCTCCCAGTAAAGAAGAATTATGTGAGCAAGGTCAAGAAAGGTCAGGGTGGGGAAGACTGCAAATTCGTCGTCACATTAAACGTTTGCTGCGACGTGTATAGGACTTCCGTGTGACATTCACATCCACATCACGATGGGACATTTCTGCAACATCGTACAGTGGTCATAAATGTAATGTGAACAAAATGCAACATTCAGATGTCATTGCAACGTCATAGAAACTGTGTTATACAGGACATCACTTATTGTGATCAATAATTCAGTTAACATTATTAAAGTATCATATATTTTTTTAATAAACTAATGCTAAATAAGTCACGAAATAAGATATAAATTTAGCAAACAAGGTCGAAATAGATTATAAAAATTGCCAAGTGGCACAGAAATGTCTTTAAATAAGGGATTAATTAGCCAAACAGTTCGGTTTCATTTTCAGACCAAGTATTTGAAATTCGGCAAGAAAGCAAATTTAGTTCAGCGTAGATTTTTCAGTAACTGTATTAATTTCAGAGGTAATCAGACACAGGTCCTCCTTATGGAGGAAGAAAAAAAATTCTGTACAATTTTATTTTCCCTCCTATTCTTTAAAATAATAATAAGAAGAAGAGTTCCTTAAGACCTACGCTAAACTAAGATTACTTTTTTGCCTAATTTTAAACTTTACATCGGCACGTTCTCTTCCAGTGACTGAGGGATGCTCTCCGGGTATTAAGGTTAAGGGTACAGTATTAATCAAATAATTTCCAGAATGTAATGAACTTTTAGCATTATAATAAAAATACTGTGAGATATGTTTCTAGTTTTATTTATATCAAAGTAATTAAATTTCATTTTTGCTCTGAAAGATAATTTTTCTAATCATTTGGTTAATGTAATCAAAATAGCCATGGACAAACTTGATTACATTAAGCAGCACCTACTGCAAATAAGTAATTGTAAAGACTTAAAACAGTGACTGGGGATATGATTAAATATTCCCTTGTCATCTTAAAATTGAAAAAGGGTTTCAGAATAGGGGTTTTAAACAATGCATACCCATCATCATCAGTAGCTCCTGGAAGTAAAGATAACATCTCAGGAGCCCCATCTGGTGTTCTCCTTCTCCTAGCAAGAAGTTTTGGTCTTTTGGGGACAGGAATTTCTAAATAACACAAAAAAAAAAAAAAAAAAGTTAGCTAAAGCATTATACCAAACACATAAAATATCAAATGAAAATAACTCCTGGATTCAATTCAAAGACATGATGCAATCTTCTTAAATACTCTGTGACGCAAAAATCACTAATTATTACTTGTGCTGATCAGCAAATTCACACATTTTCAAAGATGATAATTTATACTTGTTTTGCACACTGTCCAAATCATTACTTTAAATAGTGAATCAATATGGTATAGCTTTATAATATGCTGTATAACTTTGATTTTAATCTATAGAAGGATTTAAACTCAAAAAGGTAATAAAAAATAGCTGTTCTCAGATTTATAGAATTTAAAAATTGGAAAACTGGAAAATAATAAAAAATATAAATGATTTTATAACAGGTAATGAAAATTGCCTGTTATAAAATCACTTCGATTTTTAAGGCTGGAAGAATTTTTAGGACGATTTTTAGGAATCAAAATTACAGCTCAATGTATTACTGGAACGATTTTTAAGAATCAAAATTGCAGCTCAAAGTAATAACTGGATAAAACTTAACTGGATCGATTGATTTTTAGGAGATTACATGAAAACACATTGCAAGTTATCAATTATATAAAGCTGCAATTCAGTGATATAAAAGAAAAATTACATTTTGCATTACTTACCTTTGGTTGGACTATTTTCACTAGCTTGTGCATTTCCTTCTGAAGGCATTTTTCCTATAAACAATTTTCTTTTTAAATTTAAAGTACACTAGTTGTAACTTTTGCAAAAAGTTATTGTAAAAAACTATCAAAATTGTCACCAAACTCTATTAACATCTAAATGCATTCAACCAAGTTAATTCGGGTATACTGAACCAAATTATTTTGAACACCAAAAGAAACATACTGAAGAATTTTTTTTTTTTTTTTTTTTTTTTTTTTTTTTATGAATACAACAGAATATATCTGCTATAGTTTTAAACTAATATAAAAGAGGTTAAAAGACAGTGAAATAAAGAACAATAAAATAGGCAGAAAAAGAGCACTTTGTGAATTTTTACTTCCTTGTACAAAGTAAAAAGGAAGTATTGTAATCACGAAAAGCTTCAGGCAGCATATTTCAACGAAAATATCCACTTTGACCGCTTTCGAATGCAATTTAACGATGTTTTTGCGCGATATCTGCACGTAAAGACAGAATAAAAGACTCTTTTCCTCCAAAAAAACTAAAAAACTGCTTAAAAATGAATTCTGAAGAGAATTTTTCGTGGCGTCTGTATGAACGTATGTACGTACGTGCGTACGTATCTCACATAACTCAAAAACAAGTAGCCTTAGAACGTTGAAATTTTGTATATAAGACTATAACATGTAGATGTGCACCTCGTATTTTGGTTTCAATCGGCCGCGCCAAACGTATATAAATAAATATATTTATAAATATATCCACTCTGTTACCCAGCTCAGTGATCTCAGTTTCTTTACTCTTATATGTTTGTAAATTGTACAATTTTTGCTTTAAAAATGATTGAATTATGTTGTTTTTATCTTATCTCGGTTAAGGGTTTTATGTTATCTCGGTTAAGGGTTTTATGCCTATAGTAAATCTGTATGCAATATTTTTAGAATTATCAACAATTTTAAAATCGCTTAAGTGCCGCTAAGCCTAATTTGATGGCGGCCATTGATGTTTACATTTGAAACAGGAGACTAGTGGATTTGTTGCCAATCTAGAGAAACTTAGCTTCGCAACAACAAAGACAACGCATTCATTTATTATTGTCAATTAAATCATGCTTAATCCTTTCTTGAATTTTTTCGAGGAAATAAGCATTTCAGATTTACTTCGTAATTTTTAATACAGATATTTTGAGATTTTATGTATTTTTGCCTTGTCGCGAAGTGAGAACTGAATTAATTGAATGAGAAATACTCAATCATCTGTGAAAAACTGTTCCTTTTTTGTTTTGTTTGCTTAATTTCTTTTATACATAGTTCTAGCTTTATTATAGTATTTGAATAGAACATGTGGCAACGATTAGATAACTCTTTAAATGATATAAATTTTGTGCATTCTGAGTTATAATATGAACGAAATATAATACTGTTAAGTCAATCTAGCGCCAGAGTGTCACTATGGTAAACAAAGTGAATTTTAAAGAATGCATTTATTCTACTGTGGTTTATGCACTGTCGGCGAAGTAGGTTTAATTCAATCTAATAAGTTTAAATAAAATGCAAGAAAAAATGCGTATAATTTAATATTCCGTACAAGGAAGTCATGTGGTGTACACATCAGATTTTTATTGGCGCTTTAACCCTTCACATACAGCTCTCCAATTTGAGCACGATTATCAATTTGGACCACTATTATGGTTAAAATCATGGGTGAAGATTTCTTCCTCTTGATTTCAATTTAAAGCCCACTCTTTCTCTATGCAAGGTAAAAATTGGAGGGCTTGCAGCAAGAAGGGCATGGGTCTTTTTTGTTAAGAAAAAATGTTCTTTGCATTGGAGTAGCCGAAAAAAATCCTTTTTATTAGCACTTTTAATGAGGACAAGCGTTTAGAATGTAAATTTAAAAAATGAATTTTTTGAATATTTGAATTTTCTGAAAATTAAAAAATGTGAGCAGGGCCCTTCTTGCTGCAAGTCCTTCAATTGTCTTAGCAGTCATTAGTTTGATAATTGTCAACTCTAAGGGGTCGATTTTACGGTAGAGAATTTGCTGAGAAGTTACAAATATGATCATCAAAATGTTCTAGTGATGCTAAAGGGGGATGAGCTGCATTCACTCAGTAGAAAGGCATTTTGCCTGCTATATATCATCAAATCCTATGAAAAAGGAACCTAGAAGACAGTATGCTGTATGTTGTTTCAAGAAAGATAAAAATTTAAAGAAAATATGTAAAGAGACTCACATTTAGTCTGAAGAGTGTCAAGTTGGATTATGTTTCATGTTTCAAAGTTTATCACTCGCAAAAAAACTTTGCATAATAATAATGAGGGAATAAAAATAAGTGCTAGTTTTATTTTTAAGAACAATGTAAAGTACTTGTAATATTTACAAATAACACACTTTTTGCCACTTTAAATATTTCTTTTTTTGGTATGTACATAATTTAATACAATTTTTATATTTTCTGTTTTACTGATAAATATTTGCAACAAATTAATTAAAAATTAAATTCATCTAAAAATAAAAATATCATGTGCATTTTTTAACTTTCAATTTATGCCTGCTGAAATTGTGTGCACCGTATTATATATAATTTAAAACCACAAAAATAATTAAAATTCTTGCATTATTTAAAAACTGTCGATAACAATATGAATAGTAATAAATGCAAGTTCCTTTCAAGGTTCTTTTGATCCTTGAGAACAAAAAGAAATCTGCTGGTACCAGATTGGGGCTGTACAGTGGGTGGGGCAGCTTTGCCACACCCACTTTGGCCAGCAACTTGGAAACAAGCAGTGTGGGTTGATGTGCTGTCGTGGTACAAGATTCAATTGTCCCGGATTTCATTTCAGGTGCGCCGAACCCTGTTTTGAGCACATTAAAGCAAAACACCTTGTTGACTGTTTGTCACTGTGGCATGAATTCCCTGTGAACCACACCTTTTCTGTCAAAAAACACACTGAGCATTGCTTTGATTCACGAGTTGCTCATCCTTATTTTTTTCGGGTGAGAAGACTCCTTTGTGTCCACTGCTTTGATTGAGGATTGTATTGAAAAATTCTCATTTCGTTCCCTGTGATCACTCTGTCCAAAAATTCTGGCTCCGTTTCATAGCGTTCATGCAAATGCTGGCACTTCAACAAACACTGCTTCTCTATCTCACTCGTCAAAACTTTTGACACCATTTTCATACAGACTTTCCTCTTGAAGGTCCTCCATTAAAATGTAATGAATAATTATTTTGGGTATTCCACACTCCTGTGCAATCATCCAAACACTTAAACTGTCTAAAATTTGATGCACTTTTTGCACCGAATCTCCATTTGTGATGTTGAGGGGTGTCCCACGCGATCGTCATTGACGGACTCTTGACCTTCCCAGAACCACTTGTACCACATGAAAGATTGGTCTTTTTTATTGTCTTGCCACTGTAGCCTTTCCGAAGCCTTTTGAGCATCTCCACCCTATTTTTAACTAGTTTCACACTGCCTGAAGCTCCGCCCTGTCAGCCAGCATTGCTAACTATAAAAAATCATTCCGGGAACTTCCGGAACAAACCCTGTATAAGTTTCAAACTTGCACAGTATCTTCATTTCCAAATATGGCATAAAGAAGCCTTTTTTCTCTTACAAAATCTCTTTAAGAAACTGTATTATTTAAAATGAGATAGCAAAAGCAAATCTATATTGGTAGAGGTTTTGAAAAAAATAATTATTTTGATTTTGAAGATATTGATGGCAATCAAGCGTATGTCCTTATTTCTTCTCCTTCCAAAAACTTTTTATGCTTGAAATAAAGAGGCCTTAGTATGAGACACATTATTAAGTAGAGTAGTAAGTAAAGAGATACATGACTGCCTTCAAAACTGATAAAAAAAAACAAGTAATATTAAAAAGAAAAAAAAATTAAAGTAAATTCCTACTTAGGTCAACAAAGAAAAATTCTATTTTGGTTACTTTTTATTCACATTATCTTTTTTTTTTTTTTTTTTTTTTTTTTTTGTTTCTAATTTATGAAAGTGATGATCTATAATTTCTCATTCTATCAATCTCCTGTAATGCTTTGTAGGGTTTATATTTATTTTAACTAACATTTATTTTAAGTTTAAACTATCTTTCCTGTCAAGCCTTACTTTCCCCTGGAATTGCCAATGCCAGAGTATGTAAATTTTAGTAGAACGCGCAAAGTATTCAAAATTGTCAGCGGAAGTAATCTGAGTTAAATAGAAGGGAAACGAATTCGAAGGTGTGCTTTCTTGCTTCATGAGCGTGGAGGTGGCTAGTTAGAAATTAAAGAACCACGCGTTTCGGCCTGTGTGCTTGCCTCAGTAGATAGTTAAATCTTTCAACGTAATATTCAGAAGTTTGCTGAATTGTCAGCGGTATCTCAGAACGTGGTTAGGTTAGTTACGTTTAGAGAGCCTCGTAGTTAGTCACTTGTTATTATTCTCTCTCTCTTTTTTTTTTTTTTTTTTTTTTTTTTTTTTTTTTTTTTTGTTTATAAAATTATGGGTTATAAAATTTCGCAAAAGGGTATAGAAACTCAAGATTCAAAAATAAAAGCCATCAAGAATTTCCCACCTCCCAACACTGCCAAGAAACTTTCTCCTTTCCTTGGGTTATGTTCTTATTATCGGTTATTCATAAAAGATTTTGCTAATATTGTTGAACCCTTGTTAGTAATTAAAAGAAAGAAAAGAAATTCACGTGGACAGCAGAAGAAATTCCGCATTTGAAAGGTTAAAAGAAGCGCTCATCAATGCCCCTGTTTTCAAATTCCCGGAAGGGGACGGAAAACCAGAAAATTGCAGCAGATGCGTCGGACTAATGCTGTGGGTGCTGTTCTCATGCAAAATGGCCATCCTTTGGCAATTTTTTAGTAAAACATTGAAACCCTACACAAAGGAATTTACAGCTACAGAGAGAGAAACATTAGCCGTAGTAATGACTGTACGCAAATTTTCGAGTTTCTTTTTGGCAACGCGCCAGTAACAGTCTTTTCGGATCATGCGGCTGTTGGTAGACTTTACTCGGGGAAAAACCTAACGCCCAGGTTAAATGGGCTTTAAAACTTCAAGAATATAATCTCTAATTAAAATAAACCGGGTAAGGAAAACAATGTAGCTGACGCACTTTCTCGTATAAAAACTGGACGATGAAGGAAAATGAACTCAAATGCGCTGTGTTGACTTCAAAATTTTTAGATTCTAGAGAAACAATTATTGCTGAATTGAAAGCTGATCCTGAATTTGGAAGTATCTATGCATATTTGAAAAGACCCCGAAAGCTTTGAGCACACAGATATCGATGCGATAAGAAATAGAGCAGAAAACTATGAAATAATAGTAATTTATTATTTTATTTATCGAAAACAACAAACGAAAATCTCGAGTACAAACCAGTCATCCCAGCCTCCCTTCGATTAAGCATTTTGAAGAAATTACACGACGCGAAAACAGCGGGTCATTTAGGGGTCAGAAAGACTTTAAAAAGGGTACGCGAGGCAGTATATTTCCCGCAATTATACAAAATAGTAACTGTGTATGTCAGGTCCTGCAATCAATGTCACTTAATAAATTATATTAATTACAGCCCGGCCGGGTTACTTAAATAGCATTCGCGCTACATTTCTGAATGAAATTTTAGGCATAGATCTTGGTCCTTTCCCCCAGAGTGAGTTAAATAAAAATCGTTTTCTTTTAGTAATTGTAGATCATTTTCCAAATTGACAGAAATTGTTCCACTTAAACGCGCATCAGCCAAAACAGTCGCAGATGCATTCTTACACAGATACATTTTAAAATACGGTGCACCGATAAAAGTCATTAGCGATAACAATTAACAAGCCGTTAGCCAAATATTTGAAAATATTTGAACTGGCCTTGGCATACACCATATCAAAATGGTTCCGTATAGACAACAGGCAAACATCGCAGAAAGAGTTAATAAAAATATTGTAAAAATAATTCGAAGTTATGTTAGCACACATCACAAGCGCTGGGATGGCTACATAAATGAGTTAGCTTATGCTTTAAGAACAGCAAAGCACGATACTACGGGAAAAACTCCAGCAGAATTATTTTAGGGTAAGGCCGAAGTTAATTATGCCATTAGATAAAATTATTCTTTGTGCAACAAAGAGAGCAAGAATTTAAACAAAAAGATGTGCAAAAACTTATTGACCAGGCGGTTAAAAGCTCGGATACGGCAAGAAATAGACAAAAATTATACTATGATAGAAAACGCCATGAATCAGATTTTAAAGTTGGGGATAAAGTGTTGAAGCAGAAATTTTCTTTATCAAGTGCCCCAGACAATTTTACTGCAAAGTTAGCTCCAAAATTTGAAGGCCCCTATGTAATTCAGGAAATAAAGGGAGTCGTATTGTACCTTAAGAACGAGAGAGGGGTAATCTGTAAAGGAAGTCCCGACCAGTGAAAAAAATATTATAATCAAAATGATTTTGAAATCCTTAAAGTTTTCTTGCAGGACTCAAGCGTAAAAAAGTGGAAGGTCAAGAAGTAACGTCACCAACCCGCTTCCACCACCGAAGAAGCAGAGAACTGAAGAAGAAACCTAGCCCTTCTAGAACCCATGCGACGGTACCGAAAAGAAGAAACGTGAAAACTTTCAGACTCCAGCATTTAAGAAACACAAGAAAGCAACGCCGCCGCGTAAAGAAATCTTTGGTAAAGAGGAAAACACCACTTACAACGTATCGCAGTAGAAATTCTGCATCGAGGAGAAACGCTCCAGGGCCATAGATGGTCAGGTGCAAACAAGGCCGCCGTTCCCGAGAATGAAAACACAGCAGGAGAAACGAAAAGACCACCACCAACAGAAGAAATTCAAGTATGATTCCAGACCAGGAGGACGCCAAGACCAGCCGTCCAGGGGCAAAACGGAAAAGACAGCAACCTGACGACTACCACTCCAAGAAGGCCAGGCGTGCAGAGGGTGAAAAAGAAAAAGTCAACCATGGACGACAACTCGAAGGAACCCAGTAAGACGAAGACTTGACGTTCTATGAAATTCCATAACGTTGAGGAGTCAGTTATGCCAGAAGAGGATGTCGGAGTTCCAAGCATTGAAAACTCAAAGATAAGTTAAAATCTTCTATAAAATTTTTTTTCTTTTGTTCCGAAATGTTATGCGTAAATACGAAGTTCTATGTTTTGACGGAAGTCAATTTGTCTCGGTTTGAGACTTAGTTTTGTTTTTACTATTATTTAGCTAAGGCAAAAGTATTATTTTTCTTTAAGTATTAAATCTAAGAACAAGCAGTTTCTGTTGGTCGAAAGACTAATTTTGTTATGTTAAAGCCAAAATTTGGCCCAAGATAAAAATAACTTTGTATTCTTGTATTAATAAGAAATTTAGTTTCAGTGCCGCCAGCTTGGCGAAGAATGCATAAAATAAAAATTTATTTTTCTCTTATTCATTTTATGGTAAATTGTAAAAATCATATGGATTAGAATTTTGTAAATATACGTAAATACTTGAAAGTTATGTAAAAGTAGAATTTAGTCTAGAAGCATAAAATTTTAGATGCTAAAAGTAAATACTCGAAAGAAATGAATTAAAGTTTAAGTATTAAACAGCAGATAAAATCATGCTTTAGAGCGAAAGCCTGCATGTCTAAAGATGAATGAGGGGGAAGTTAGAATGAATGTGTTTTGTAGGGTTCTCCACCTACACTTGAATTTTAAGAATGTTAAAATAGCTCATCGAGTGTTAGAATGTCGAGTAAGGTGTGTCTATTTGGTCGTTGAATTCTAACAAATCATTGGGAAGTGTTGCGATACTAAAACACGAATATTCCCGTTTGACACCACACATGGTGGAGAGCCAGGGTAAAGTTAAATTCATGTTTGAATACTTGAATGAATGTGAATTAAGCAGTAATTAAGGAAAATAAATCGATCAAAAACAAAAACTTATTCAGTGTCAAGAAAGTGTAAATTATAATGTATTTAGAAAGGTACTGATACTTATTCCTTCCAGATGCTGGAAGGAAGAGAACAGATTGATTGCTGAAGTCCAGGAAAGGTTGCTGTAAGAAGAAAGGGTTAAATAAGTATCTACAGAAATTTATTCCACCTTTTGTGAGAAAACAGTTTTTTTATGTAAACGAGGCTCTTAAATTTTAGTTCAGAATTGTGGAAACTTTTCAACAGGTCGTTTCTAGGACCTGCTTCCAAGTTTACCAAATTTTGGCAGCGGCAAATGTAGGGTTTATATTTATTTTAACTAACATTTATTTCAAGTTTAAACTATCTTTTCTGTCAAGCCTTACTTTCCCCTGGAATTGCCAATGCCAGAGCATGTAAATTTTAGTAGAACGTGCAAAGTATTCAAAATTGTCAGCGGAAGTAATCTGAGTTAAATAGAAGGGAAACGAATTCGAAGGTGTGCTTTCTTGCTTCACGAGCGTGGAGGTGGCTAGTTAGAAATTAAAGAACCACGCGTTTCAGCCTGTGTGCTTGCCTCAGTAGATAGTTAAATCTTTCAACGTAATATTCAGAAGTTTGCTGAATTGTCAGCTGTATCTTAGAAGGCGGTTAGGTTAGTTACATTTAGAGAGCCTCATAGTTAGTCACTTGTTATTATTCTTTTTTTTTTTTTTTTGTTTCTTATTTTTATTTTACCGCCAGGTTGGCGTAGTTTGTGAGCGTCAAGAGCACGCATCTGTAATTTCTAAAGTTGAATAAAAAGGGATTTAAACCCTTCTCAAGACTTTGTATACTTTCCAGTTCATAGCAGTCACCACTATTGTTGCGTGCAGGTTGGAAGCGCGCAACATTACAGCTTCATTATTGCAAGAAACATTTCCAGTGAGTTTCAAGCAGTCCAATTCTTCAATTAATATTCCATCTAACGATTTCATACGACTCAAGGTGACATATGCTTGACCTGTTGTGAAGTGTATAATATTAATGGGTTATTAATCGTCGCTTGCATTGTGTTGTAGTTTCTTTTCACATTCACCATTGGTGAAGCAAGGGACATTATAAAGGGTTATATTTTAAACATATATTATCATCATATTAACATAGAAATATGGGGAGAATTTTCACTATATAATGAGACATTACATCCACTTCATCCAACTCTTAAAGCTACAATTCTTTAATTCCATACACTTTAAAAATCTTTAAAATTCTGTCTTACTGTTGGCACTTATTTTTGTTAAAAATTACAGTCCCATTTATCACAGTCATGTACTATTATTTATAAGTTGTTATAAAATAAATTTTACAGCATGTGAGAATTCCTAATAAACTGTCATTATTTAATATATTTAATAAGAACAACATACCTTTAGTTCCGATAAACAGGAATAAATAAGTAGGAATTAACTTTAACATGTGAAAAAACTGTATTAACATCAAGTGACATCCACTACAAGTGTAAGAAAATGTATTTGAACTTGAGAGGATGAATAAAAAGTATTTTATTAATGATTGAAAATTTGAATAAGATATAGAGAGAGTGTGAGTTTATAGTAGGAATTTAATAATGAGATTCAAAATTTATACCAATCTGTTATTCTTTTTTCCTTGGAGGGGGGCCCAATTTAACATTGATATATTTCTTTTCCAATTAGAACTGTACCTCTCTTACAAGTGCAGAACCAAAAAATCAAATATTTACAAATTATAGATAATTTGTCACTTATTACTTGAATCTTATGCTATGTTCCAACATGACTGCTTTTGTCCCTCATGCAGTCTGTTGGTAAATTGTATATATCATCATAATTTAAAATATTTTACTTTCCTACATTTTTAATTATTTACATACCATTTTAACAGCATTAATGTACCCAATGTTTAATATTTATCACTTCCCATGTGACAATACCATTAAAATACATATTTTTTTAACTCAAAATTTTGCTATAATACTCACTTTTCATGTCTAATTCTCGTTTGAGTTTTAGCAATTCAAGTTCACACTCAACAGGATCATTTTTACTTAATATCTCTAATAAACGCTGACTTAACAGTCCTCTTTCAGTTGGTGACATTGGTCCTTGACATGGCTGCTTATGATCTGCAATTTTTTAACAACACTCATTACATGAATATATTCAGTATACATAAAAGTACTTCATAAATGGGCACAAATTTTAATTTCAAAATCTCGGCTCTGGTAAAATTAAGTTAATGATGACTAACAAATCTGAAAAAAATTAAAATAATAACTTATATAAAATTGCACAAGTGGCATTAATGTTAAGAAAGAGATAAATGTATTTTCAGAAAAAAAGAACAAATCTTTACTTCTCCCAGTTGGCAGTGATCACCTTTGCTGGCTACTCAGGTTTGCAGATTGCAATCAAAATTAATGATTGCTTAAAAAGAATTTCTTGAGGACTTCTGTACATTTCTCATTTTAATTTAAACTTCAGCTGATTTTAATTTCTATTCTCACTATGCACAATTACAATATAATGAAAGAACTTGTTTAAGAAATATATAAACCATGTTTACCTACTAAAATGCATTAGGATTCATGAAAAACCAACATTAAATTAAAAATTTAATTTTGTTAATTTGCTGACAGAAACTTTCCACTTTGCACTAGTAATAAAGCAGTTAAAAAAATGCAATTCACCATGGTGAATTACAGTCCTCAATTAAAAACTCTGTGATTAATTAATTTTATTGAGAAAGCAGAAACACAACTTCTTTGGCTGCCACGAAATTACACTTTTTGTGACTGCATTCTATATAAATATGCACAATTTGTCCCACACTATCAGTTCTCATATATATGATGATCTATTTTAGCTTTAAAAAAAAAATCAGAGAATTGCATAAATTTGGCACTGCCAATGCTGTTGTTTTACCACATACACAACAATCTTTTTTCACTTAAAAATATACCAGAGAATTGCAAAAATTCGGCATCAACGCACAAACTATGATCCATAAAGTACAATTGTTTACTGAGTGGAATGCAAATTTTTTGCAGTTTCTACTGTTATTCACAAGGCCCTATTTCTGAAGAAATGCAATGCTTACTTTTTCATCAGCTGGCTAACTGCATCGTCCCAACATGATTACTTACAAAAAATAAAAAGCACTCATGCAAAAAAAGAAGAACACCAATGACTATCAAATTTAAAGGTGGAAACGTGGCCTTTGGTGCAAATTGGCACTCACCTGTTGTGTACCTGCATACCTGGTTTCTCATATAAATATATTTTGAAGCCATTATAGATTGCATATTTTGGCGACACAGCGACTCGTTAATGCTTTTCAGGGAGGTGCGGGTAATCAGAAAGTGCCTTATATAGATATATATAATGTTTTCAGGATTGTTTTCTATGAATTCACATGGAACTTTTTATTTCGCTCAGGATTAATTCTTTATAAAGTATCACTTTACTATTTAAAGATATTTTCAGGCTTTCATTTATAAATTTTGAAAAACTCAATATCTCACTGGATTAAATTTACTTTGAGGTTTAAGAATTCATTGGCTGTTATTTATAATTCCCTCTTAATAGATTTTACTTATTATTTATAACAATCACGCCTTTCCCCAGTCAAGTTTAATTTTTCTCCAAAAAATAACATCAACTTACTTTTTTTATACAATTTTTAATGTTAGTAAAATTTAGTTTTAATTACATATTATAAATGAGTATGTTTCTTAATAAAAAGAAAGCACACATGGAGAAATACACACTTCTTTCTTTTCCAGAGCTGTCGTTTCTACGATACTTAGGAATTGCACCTTGGGATCTGCGAGCAGAAGTTGATTCCAAAGGTGTAGTTTCATCTGGAGAAGAAACTGTACTATCAGACTGACCATCAAAATTACTTTTTGAGCGCTGACTATCAGGACTTAAGGTTACTGGATTATCATCATCTTTACTAGCACAATGTGGAGATAATGCTGTAAAAGAGAAGATAATACAAACAAAATTAAATTATATTTTCTTAAAGAATGTTTACTAACACACAAATATATGTTCCAAAATTATATCAGGATATTAACTGGCACTGGTCAATATACTGCCAAAAATACTTGATTGCCTCATGCAAATATTACGTTAACCCAGTGATGGGCAAACATTTTCGGTTGCGGGCCAAATATAAAAAAGAAAAAAAGTTTGGAGGGCCAAGATAAATTTTTCTAAAATTTAAGAAGCAATATACGAGTATTACAATTTAAATATGTTAATGAGATGAATGAAATTGCGATTTCATTTTTAAAAGTTCCTTATATTAAGGTTCGAAATGAGATGTACAGATTCTAAGGAATGAGGATAAATGCTCATCAGTCAGTCTACTTCTGAAATAATTCTTTCTAAGATTCATAGTTCAAAGCACTTGTTCACATATATAAGATGAAGCAAATATAGCACTGGTTTTTCTGGGCATGAGATATTAAATTTGGGAACTTACTTTCGATAATGATTTGTAAAACTCTAATTTTGGCATGTTTACAAACAACTGCTTGAGATGATTGTTAGACTGCAACTCATTTAATTCAAACTGCAAATGTGACCTCACTGCTTCACAATTTACGTTGAAAAGCATGCTAAAAATATCCAATTCTGTTTGAATGGCACTGAAATCTTGAAATCTGCATTCAAACTCAAAATGCAGTTTATTCAAGCCATCTTCATAATGACTAAGATCCTCATTTACTGAGGATATTGAATTTAACCTCGGGAAATAAGACAAGTCGTTCTTAGATAGCTGTCGAGCAAACAGATTAAGTTGGCCCAGATCTCTTAAATAAATTGATTTCCCCCTTGCATCTTGACATTCAAGTTGCTCATATGACAAAGAAGATCTGTAAAAAAATGCAAAGTCCGAAAGCTATTCCGTACCTTCTAATATTTCGTACTCCATAGAACACTGTTTCTCATGGAAGATTGACACAATGTTGTCTTTCAGTTGCCAAACTCGCTCGAAAACAACTTTCATGTAATGCAGTACATCAGAGTATTCAGATTGCAGGAACTGAAGGAAATTTCGAAACTGCCTGTGATTAAGCCCACGGGATCAAATAGTATTTACAAGCTTCACGACGGATTTCATATTCAATGCAGATTTACACAGAAAATCTTGATGTATATAACACAATGTAGAAAAACGACATTTTTCCCGGGAGAGTTTTGATTAAAAAGTTCAAGAAAGCTGTAGTTGCTCCCTTTAAAAGTAGTAGCTTTTGTAGTTAGCTCCCTTTAAAAAATGCATGCATGCCAGTTTCTCAGTAATTTCAAAGTTCTCATCATCATCTCTTATAAATAATAGTAATTGAGCAGTACTATTTATATCAGTGCTTTCATTCATAGCTATGGAGCAAAATTTAAACAGGCCAATCTTTGACTCTAATTGTGATGTCAAATTTTTATCGGTCTTTGATTCTAGAAGTCATCGTTTTCCGAGATATGCTTACAGTCTCAAAATTATTTTTCTTGTCTGAACATAAAACATCACAAACTTTATTGCATTTCAAAACACTTTATTTCAGATCAGACACACTGGTTTATCTTTTACAACTATAAAAAAATATTTCCAGTTCCATACATCATTAAAAGCATGGCACTCAGAATCAACTTTATGCTTTTCAGTAGCCATTCTGGGATTGAAATATTTTATGAATAACTCAAACAAGTACTAAGTTATACTTTTAATAATTTCACTACTATTCACAATGATACTACATGTCCTCAATCTTTCTATACGCAATCAATAATATTAGAACTTGCACCAAAAGAAAAAGCTACTGGCTGGAGCTTAAAATGCACAGTCTGCCACATGTGGTCTAATTCACCTTTATTGAATTCCATATGTCTTCTCCCCAAGAAAGAGGTAACACTTGTTGGGGCCAATCTAAAGCTAACGAAAAACTTCCGCTTTTAACACTTTACCGCTTGAAAGCTGTCTATGCTTGCTATTTCCGTTGATTTATATTTTATAGAACAAAAACAGAGAAAGTAAAAAGGTTATCAGTCCTTTGAAAAAAAGGAAGAAAAAATAATATTTAAACAAAGTAGAAAAAGAGATGGATATATAATATATAAATATATATTTCTTTTAATTTGATTTGGACCAGCATATCCGTGGGCCACATAGAACCTTCCGACAGGCCGTAGTTTGCCTATCCCTGCATTAACCCTACAAGCTATTCTAAATTCTTCTAAAAGCCACAATTTTACTTTTCCTGTAAGACAACATTTGTTCATTTCGGGCTCTTATTGCCTTCAGCATCAAATATTTAGAGTTGCCAAGAAATAAAACAAATATAATTCCTTATTTTCATGTATTTTACAAAAGAAAATTGTCAATTATGCAACTCTCACGCAGCAAAATTGTAAAATGCTTTATTAACAAGCACAGGCGCAGTGTTAGTATAAAAGTTGGGAATTGGTTTGACTCACCAATTTCCAACTCTTATTAAAAGTCACCTTCATATTTAGCAGATACCATCTGGAGGCAGAGATAATCTGTAGAGAACAGCAATTAATTTGACAGGATTCTGAATGAGATTTCCAAAGCCAGCTCGGAAATTACAAGACCTGTTTAATCTGCTGATATCAGAAACACATTACACTAACAAAAAGCATCAATAGATTTTGGGTGATGTATCAGGAAGTGCCAGAAAATACTCAATTAACTGCTGGAGGGGGAGAACTCTATGACCAAATAAGTGCAACCACACTTAAATTAATTTTGCAGACAGAATATGTAATTTAAAATGGATCCAGAAACTTAGCCCTTTTTTAGAAAAACAAATTCAATATTAAATAAATACTTTGAATGGATGAAGGCAGATATTAACTTTTCAAGTAAGCATATTTTTTATAATTATCTTAAATGATTGCTTTAGTAGCATAATTCATCCAATGAGAAAGATAAAATACAACATTTAAAACAAAATCATGACAAAAATTTAAAAAGTACATGGTGGAATATGCAAATGCAGTACACACATTTTCTCCTGCATCAGTGAAAATAGATTTACTATTGGTTACAAAGAAAAGCTATTAAACTGCTCTATTTTAATCCTATTATCTTTTACCAGAAAACTAGTTGCATGACAAAAGTTTATCCAGAAGCTCCTTTTGTGCAGATTTTTTTTTTTAATTATGCTAGAACAAAAAATTTAACTCATAAAAAGGTTCTATTAAATTAGAATTTTCTTTAAATAATCATTTTTTAATTTCATAATAATTAACACTAGAACGGCGGTAGAGGTCATTTTGACCCTTCAACACTTTTGCCCATTGATTACTTTTGTTTTATTGGAAGAAATCATTTGGAATTTTTTGACTTTTTCTAAATAGATAACAAATATTCATAAAACAATTTTCAGCATTCTATGTTTGTTAGTTTTTGAAATATTGGCATATATTCCTAGAACGGCGGACGGGGGTCATCTTGACCCCTTTACTTTTATCCCACTTTCTCCTCGAGGCATTGTCAAATAACCATTAAAACCATTCACTGATAAGGATTTTTCGATTGCATTCATACTATCCCCCCCAGAGGGATAAAAACCTGGATGGTCTCACTACTTTGTAATGTCTACATAAGTTGTTGTTCCTTTGTTTGCAATTATCTATTCGTTTGAAGAAAATACTGCAAGGAAGGTAAGATGCAGGATTTTTCATGCTTACATTTCTTTTCAGAAATAGCTTATTTTACAGATTCGTTTTCCCGTTTGTTAGTTCAGCTTACTTACCGCAAGTGATAACAGTTAGGGACAGTTTTTTTTTTTTTTTTTTTTTTTTTTTTTTTTTGGTGTGTGTGTGTGTGTGTGTGTGTGTGTGTAATCTCAAATCAGTATTTCAGTACATATGAATTCTGCCGTCAAGTTCATTATCACCTTTCCTTTACGCTGTGAGAATCATATGCTAAAAAATATTCCCTGTCGTTTTTCTGATAGTCTGATATTTTTCTACTTTTTTCTTAAATTAAAATTAAAATATGTCTAATAAGCAGAAAAGAGGTCTTACGGATGAAGAAATTAAAAAATTGTTGCAAGAGCTATCTGAAAATGAGTCTGACGGAGGTGAAATTGATAATTTTTCTAAAGAAACTGAAGATGAATTCCAGACACAAACTATTAGTGAATCCGAGGACAGTAAAGTAAATGAAGAAGAACTCAGCAAAAATAAACGAGCAAAAACAGATCAGGGTATTTGCAAAACTGTTTTTACAGCTCTTGATAACACTATATGGAATGAAATAAATTCCATAAATTCCGTCTGTGGCCATGTTCCTGATTATAATGTTCTAAAAGAAACAGTAAGATCAACATCTTTTGCAAAGAGTCGTGTTTCTGAAGACAAAGTGCCTAGTGCTTTCAAGCTTTTTATTGTTGATGATATCTTGCTGCATATAAAGAAATGTACAGAATCCGAAGCTCATCGGAAACTTGGAAATAAAGACTGGAAGTTATCTGTGGCTGAGTTAGATGCTTTTGTCGCTATATTGTATGTTCGAGGAGTAATAGGAGCAAAAGGCTTAGATTTATATTCCTTTTGGTCTGAAGTGTGGAGAATACCATTTTGCAAAGAAACTACATCAAGAGATTGATTCAAAGAAATAAAAATATTTTAAGGTTTGATGAAAAGAGAAGAAGATCTACTCGATTACAGACTGATAAATTTGCTCTTGCATTAGACATGTGGAACAAATCTATTGAAAACTGCAAAATGTGCTACCGAGGACAAAATATTACAGTTGATGAACAATTATTCCCATCTAAAGCTAGGTGTAGATTTACACAATATATGCTAATAAACCTGACAAATTTGGAATAAAATGTTGGTTATCCGTCGACGTTGATACTAAATACCTGCTTTATACTAAATACTTTGTATCAACTGCATTAATTCTTAATACGTATGTGTAATCTCTAATATTTTAAACATT